ATAATCGACGATAGCACCAATAGTCCAGTGAAAGTAGTTTTTATGTGTAAACAGCCAAAAACGCACGGCTCAGCTTCTGGCACACTACAGTCGTTAAAAAAAGGGTGAAAATAGTTTGAAAACTTCTCCAGACATAAAGTTATTGTCCACATCTTACATTCGGAGTCACAGTTACGAAACGACAGGATATTTGACAAGTTTGCAGGTTTATTAAATAACGTTCATAGTCGATCGACAAGTGATATGCTACACCAGGAGATTAGATTCAAAATAGTTCAAAATTACGTTGCTATTGATACGTTTGTTTGGGATTTTTTCGTTATTATTTACAAATACAATGCTTTTCTTTAATATCGTCCTTCATATTTATTTTTCGAACGGCACACGGGTATTGCGTATCTTGAAAAGTGACTATGACGATTTTTTTTGACGTTACATTGGTTTTTTGTGGCATTATGTAGCTTCTCCTACGAGATATTAACTTAGCACTAGCTGATATACACTCGTTATGAACTGGTTTTGTAGTTATACTTGTTGCCTAAACGTCATGATGCTTCAGTTATCAATGTTTGGCTCTGATGTGATGTACAATCTGCTTCAGAGATGGCATTATTGGTGGTCTAAGCAGTAAGTTGTATAATATAGCTAGAAGGAAACGGCACTGCATAGGTGCATAGTGAAGATTGGTGCGCTAATAATATGTGTTGATGATAATTCCATTGATTTCTTATCTCAAATACACTTACTTGAAATTCAAAGCTATAAATTATGCGCTTCCACTTTTTCTTATTCACTGTGGAAATTACACTTGCAAATTTGCTAAATTTAAAATATGAGACACATAAGAAAAGAAAATCCCTGGTTTCCAGGTTGGTGGAGGAACAGGTGAGAAAATATGCTACAGATAGGAATATTTATGAAAGTGAAAAAGGTTATTGCATTACTTTTTATTAAATTAAATTTTCAGACGAATTGCTATACTCTATCGTAAAAGTGATATTTGAAAATTTCAAAATGGTGGCTGACCGCCATGTTGGAAAAGTGTTTAAATGAACTGGTGGATCACGTGACACATGATTGTGATGCTCCTTATGAGTATTTTGAGGTTCTGGATTTCAAAGTTTTCTACTCTTTAAAATGGCGAACTGGCGGGCTTTCTAAGTTAAAAGTTCATGTAGATTGGTTCGCTAATAACATAACAATGAGTCATCAAAACGCTACAGTAGCCTGAAGAAAACTTTTCGCTTGATGATTTTATCCGAATATGCAAAAAAACGAATTATTCCATTCCAAAATCAGATTTCATCAACTTTTTTAGTGGAACGTCCCACATTTTACTGCATATTAATTTAGATCCTTCCAAGCAAAAAAAAAACACATGATTGCTGATTAGGTGTTGAGTAAGGGGGTCAATCCTCTCAACTCAAATTCATCTGTGACAGCCCAAAAATTCGTCATTTTGAAAGATGGCGAACTTTATATTCTAAGGCAGGTACATAGTACTTATAAGGAACTTCACAATAATGTCGCATGACCCACTATTTCATTTAAAAACTTTTCCAACATGGCAATCAGCCGCCATTTTGAATTTCGGCTAGCTAACTTGACTCGTTCAAGAAATAAATGGAGAAAAATAAAAAGCATATTTGAGGTATCAGAATAACGTATATCGATCTTTTCTTACTAAAACGATCCCAGTAGAAGTCTTCATTGCTTTAGGAAACATCCATTGACCTACTCATCAAGAGCGGACAACATACACTCTCAAAATTCAATTCATCTAAGATTATACACGCTAAAGTACTGTAAATATCTATAACATTGATATCCTTAAGCATTTGCAGGAAGCACAAAAATGGCGTCATTTAGGTTGCACTTCCCATGCAAAGCTGACATCAGTTCATAAAGAATTATGTTCCGGATAAGTTAGTCCCCTGAGAAGAAACTTAACTCCGAATATGTATAACAAAAGAATTAAATGGATCAAATCAAATAAACAGGCCAATTATTGAAACAGCAGCTAGCCAAACTACGTTGATATTAGTGGCAGTCCAACTGAGTTTATGTCGGCCGAATCCAACCCAAAAGATAATCTAAATCGCGAAGAAATCAAACCGTTCACCTAGGCGTTTATGTAGTGACTTAAGGGCCGACCTTGGAGGAGAGTCCAAATTAAATCCTACAGATAAACGTAGTGACAATCAGTCCATATTCCCCACCCATCTGACAACGTTGCGATCTAGAAATTTCTCCCCTGTCCTAACGACAGCACTGGTAATTTGGTAACGTTGACGTGAAGAGCCACGGCAGCTACGCATCGATCAGACCGCAACGCAAGTAAATCAAGAGGGGTGAGTGTTGAAAAGATTTCTCCATCATTCATTTAAAGGCGGAAGTTTATACAGGATCCGTCAGAAAGAACGCATGTTTCTGAATGGGTACTACATCGAGTGGCCTGGTCCCGTGTCGGTGAGGAAGGGCGTGTTGGATAGTGGGAGAAGTGCCGTTTCAGTTGGTAAGATGGTTTGCAACGTTGAGCATCGGGTGTTCACTGTACGTCGGTACTTTCAAAATGGCGAGTATGTCGTTCGAACGCAACGTGAGTTCCGCTTTCACCTTCGTGTTTCATGTCGTGGGACAGTACCAGGCGAAGCATTCAACACAACAGGTAATGTGATGAAGAAAAAATCGCCAGGGCGAAACCGTACTGTTAGAACCCCCGAAAACGTAGACAGAGTGAGAGTTGACACGCTGCAAAGCCCGAATCGTTCCGTCCGTTTGCGTGCCAGTTCCCTAGGGATCCACGCGTCCTCTGTACGTCGCATCTTGAAGAAGGATTTAGTGTTTAATCTTTACAAAATCCAAGTTTGTCAACAACTGTCGCCAACGCACAACGTGTTAATTTTGCACAGCTCATGATTGAACAGTTGGATAACAATGACATGACGTTGTTTATGAATGATGAAGCACATTTTCATTTACATGGTTACGTCAAAAACAAAATTGTCGATATTGGTCTCCAGTAAACCCCCGGCAGTTGCATGAGCACCCCCTGCATACCCCGAAAGTTACAGTTTGGTGTGCAGTAGGCCCAATGATCATTATTGGACCTTATTTTTTGAGGATGATGGAGAAACAACTACTGTGAATTCGGAGTGTTACATCCACATGCTGAGCAACTTTTTTTTCCGGAACTTCGACGTCGACGTGTCCGTCTCAAAACAGTGTGGTTCCAACAAGACGGAGCAACATCTCACACAGCTCGCACTTCGATGGAACTTCTTCGGCAAAAATTCTCAGGACGTCTCATTTCACGTCATGGCTATATTCCCTGGCCCCCTCGCTCCCCGGACCTGTCAACGTATGATTTTTTTTATTGGGCTACCTGAAATCAAAAGTTTACCAAAGCAAGTCTCGGACCCTGGTCGATTCGAAGGAGGAAATAGGAAGAGAAGTAACCCAAATTCCTGCACGGATGCTGGCCGACGCAATAGGCTCATTTCGGGAAAGGCTTGATACCAGCATTTCGGTTCAAGGGCGCCATATGGCCGACATAGTTTTATTCAAAAAAATGACATCTATTTCTAAGAATCTTTACTTAATAAAATATTTTTCCCATACTTATTTTGACTGTACTACTATCATTTAAAAAAAACATGCGTTCTTTCTGACGGACCTTGTGTGTATGTGGAAAATGGCTAATAGGGGTTGGAAGCTTATAAATATACAAATATTAGCAGATATTGAGATATACGCTTCCTCACCGTTTGCAATCCCAACCTCCAATTTTTAACCACTAATATTTAATTTCTGAAAATGATCAAGAGTTTTTGAATAGTCAAAATACGAAGATTGATTGAAATTTATCTGTTCATTTTTTGCAGGTCCGCCGCCACTGGACCGATTTTCAAAAACTACGAAGCTTTTCGTACCGCACCGCAGTAGACAGACCGTTGGAAATGAATAAATTTTTGTAACGTACAAATCCAAAACATAATCAGTTCATTGTGTTTTACACTGTACGTCCTTGATCGGAGATGTTAAAGGACCCTACGCTGCGACCGCAGCGTTCATGATTTCGCGCACTCTCGTTGGGACACGCAATTTATTCCGATTGGTACCGCCGACTTGAATATAAAGTGGTCGGCGGCGAATTTGATCTGCAGTACTGCAGTACGACTGAGGAAGGTCTTCCACCTTCACCCTGCCTTTGTAGGTGCCCGCGTCTTTTGAGGTCACGTTCTCTTCGCAAGAATATTCACGTGTGGGATCTTGCTTATTTTATGGATTGTATCTCAATGCGATAAATTGTCGAGTATTAATGAGTAAATATAAAAATGGGCAGGCAAAATAAAAAGTTTCTCATACATTTTCCACCATTTCATCTTCTACTTAACCAATGGCATTCATTTTATTTGTAGTATTTTTTATAGAATAGAAAAAACAACTATTGATTTTCAACAGGCCGCGGTGAGTTGAGCGGGTTCGATCCCCGTCGCAAGAAATTTTTTCTCTTGGATATGCTGCCGTACTTAGGTAACGGGCAGTAAAGAGTAAACATCGAAGTCTGAGAAATCTGAGTTCAAAATTCTGGATTATTCCGAACTAAATAAATAGTATCATTACGACACAACAAAAAGTGAATGAATATTGCAAAGTTACATGCCTTATAGAGAGTCATTTAAATGTGAGTTCAGATCGTAATTGTTGTCGGTGTCTAGCATGACATTCCATCTTTAATAATTGTGGTAAATCGAAAAAAAAATTCTGCAATTAGGCATTTACTGCTTTTTTCGTAGTTTTCATAATCTATTTATATTATCATTTCAAAGGAAAAACGCAGTAATACAGACTTTTATTTTATTTTAAGATTCTATATTCATAGTATTGAAATTCACAAAGGTAAATATTTTCAACATCTACTAATTCAGTTTGATAATTATATAGTTACGAGGGATGTCTTTTAAGTTTTGCATATGGAAATAAAACAACACGGTAGGTAGTTTTAAATGACTTTATTGTTTTTCGAAGTATTCTCCACGAAGATTAATACACATCTGCATGCGCTCGAACCAATTTTCGAACCACTTATTCCACTCGTTTGCTGGCAGATCCAAAACGGCATTTTTGAATGCGTCAACTGCTTCTTCTGGTGACTGGAACCTTTGACCACGCAGTCTGTTTTTAATTTTCGGGAAAGTAAAGAAATCCTTAGGACTTAGATCGGGACTATATGGAGGATGGTCCAATAATTCCACGTTTTCTTCCGTTAAATACTACTTTGTTTTTTGGGCTGTGTCCGAGCTTGCATTGTCTTGGTGGAGGATGATTCTTCTTTCGGGGTTGATTTTTCAAAGCTCGGTGATGACTTTTGGCAAACAAGTGGTGGTATACCAATCCGCAGTAACAGTTATTTGCTCATTAAGAAGAATTGTTGCAATACGACCGGCTTTTGACACAAATGTCGCGACCATCTTTTTCGAAACACTTCGAGAACGGATGACTTTTGTTGGCTTTTCTTCACCTTGGAACACCCAAACAGCCGACTGTCGTTTATTTTCTGGTTCATAACAGTAAATCCACGATTCATCACTACTAACAATGGCTGCTTTCTGCTCTTCAGTCAACGAGAAACTAGTTTTCTTACTCCTAATTCTTCATGTAAAATTTTTTGAATTGAGGTCTTTGAGATCTTCAAGGACGCCTCAACCTCGCGATATGACACATGTCTATCTTCAATGATGAGTTTGCGCACAGCATCGACGTTTTCCTGGGTGACTGCCGTTTTTGGTGCACCCACCCTGGGATCGTCGCTAAGACGTTTGAATTCTCCATACAAACGGGAAATTGTCGACTGATGTGGCGCTTCGTTGCCGAAAACAGGCAGTAACTCAGCAAGGCATTCTTGTTGCGATAATTGTCTCTGAAAGTTGTAATAAATTATGGCGCGAAAATGTTCTCGGTTGAGCTCCATTTTTCTAATGACTTGGTGACGCTTAAAAATTCACTGTAGTCACTGCACGTATTGTTGTGAAACTTTGAATTTAAGTTTACTACAGAGTGAGGTTAAGATTCAGTACTGACGTTCGATCCGCGCGGCCTACTAGGTTTCTATATGCAAAACTTAAAAGACATCCCTCGTACATTCAATAATTGCATTCATCAAAAATAATTATATGTATAAATAAATAACACGTTTCCTTACATGTAAAGTTAAAATAATTATTCTTTCGGGGCAAAAGTAAATAATAGAAATATTAGATAAAAACACTAAATAAAAAAAAATCATGATAGGTTATACAGGGGTAAAAAAGTAGTACTTGTATCATACAGAAAATAAAAGCAGTATAGTCTGAAAACTACTGCATTTTTGTTTTGATGAATTGATTTACTGCTTTTATGTTTAGGAAATGTAATTAATATGAAATATTTGATAATATGAAAAATATTTATTTTTGTTTTATAACGTGATCAATGATATATTTTGTAACTGTAATCATAAAAGAAATTTATTGAAGTCAAAATTTTAAAAAAGGCAGTGAATAAACTTGCGTATGTACCGCAATGTGGATGATGTGACTGGTCGTAGGTGGTAGACGACGAACTGTCGAACGTGGAGGTACTACCCGGCGGATCTCTAAGAAGGGGCCAGGATGTGTGCATGTCATATGCACACTTGTTCCCTCGCTAGAGTTCGTGTGACGTCCCCACCCTTTCCTCTATAGTCCCACGGTACCGACGGATCTTTCTGGCTTAGGCCTTTGTGGTGGTTGAAGTTTAAAAAATGACAAAATTGTAGTTGTTTTGGTTACATTTATTTTTAAGTGTCTCTCCACAGCATGACATACACTACACACTCAACTTCACTAATCAGTGTCAGCCAGTTGAATGACAATCTCACAGGAGTTGAACATCCACATAGATGGATGGCTATAATCGAAACAAAATTTAGGCTAAATTGGCCACTTAATCTCATCTGAAATCTCGGATGCACACGTCGCCCCCAGTGCCCTTCCCCTCAAAAACGAAAGTAGTTTTCTATGGTCGAAATTCTATTTAAAAAATTTGATAAAATCGCTGATTGCTACGTCGTTACGTCCAAAATGTGTGATAGATTTCTGAACTATATTTGGTCAAGGAACAAAAATGTGCTAGCTTAAACATCCAGTATATATCTGTTTTTCTTGTATACCTTTCTGTTGTGATGTCAAACTCGTTTCTTTTTCTAGAAAACTGTCAAAATTCAGAGTAACCGCATTATCGCCTATTTTCTTCAATTTTGACGTTTTAGATTGAAAAGATAAAACTAAATGTGGCATCAAAGTATCAACTTGTCATCGCCACAAATAAATATACACTTTAACGAATCTTGCGTGCTGGTGGTTCTAACAACAAATCTACTTCATCAACATACAAATACATAACAAATCACCGTTTCAATAAATCTATTTCACTCAAATCAAGAATAAAGATAAAATGTATCCATTCATCACAACAAACAGCTAGAGAAAGAAAAGCCGTTTTCCATTCAAAACAAACACCGTAACAACAATGTAATGAAAAAAACAACAATGAATGAAAATGGACACGGTGGGTGATGAATATGTATTAATTTTAAGAACGCATACATACATATTTATGTAAATATGTTTATTCGCATAAATATCTAGTCTAGTACAATTCATTTCTTCACGCACATTCTCATAACTATCTATAATATAGCATGACTGTTGCATAATTTCGACGGATTTTCATTCAAAATTATTGGATACTGAAATATGCCAATTAATTTAGTAAGTCAATATTATGAAACACATGTTATTAGTGAATTGGACCCTAACTACCTACTATTTGTTATACAGATACTTTTCAAGCTTCAAACATAATGATAGTTAGATTTCAGACGCTTTTTGCATAGAAAGTTTACTCTTGAAAGAATTTGAGGGAGTGCATGTATGTATCAGAAAGAAACGCAAACAGTACCGGTATTGGTGCAACGTGCTTCTCAAATAACTTTGAGGGCTCCTAAGATATTACCCAGTTAAGAAAAGTTTAATGCAATCAGCTACTATTTAACGTTGACTTGTTTCATAAAAAAATTGGTCCCACCCAAGGACTGTAAAATTTCAATAAACGTTATACAATATTTTACTCAGGATATTTCATATATTGATCAAATGTTTGTTTACAGGTTGCCTTTGCACTATGTACCAGAAACGATCTTCGATTGGTCAACACAACCTTGAGTTTAAATAACTTCGTATTTAATTATATCTCACGGCATAAAAAACAACCTAGCATAATAACCAATTTGCTTCAGATACCTGACAAATTGTTTGTGCGCGTCTTTTTCATAGACCACCACAGATGTAAAATCGAGAATAAATGCATGTGATTTATCTGTCTGTCATGTTGCCGTCTTTACCACAGCAAAATATTTCAGTTATCACTATTCTAATTTTGATGATATGAAATATGGACATCCAAGATCTGAGGAGGTCATAGTACCTAGTTAATAAATCCTTGAAAATACTTATTCTAACATCAGAGTAATGAGAAAAAAGTCGTCAACGCCAAAATAATTCAAATGTGTTTGTAACGATCTTAAAATTTTTCATTATATCTAATCGATTTTACTAATCATATTGATCGATTTTTATCCAATCGATTACATAAATTATCCATTTTAATAGATTTTTGTAAACAGCGACGTATGTACACTAACATGAACAAGACGATTAAAGGCAACGCCATATGTGTGTAAGATACTTTAAACATTTTATTTGCCTTGTGTGCTATCTTTAGTTGACCGATTGATTGAGTATATATTTTTAGTTATTATTATTATACATGAAAGAAGATAAGAAATAAAACATAGAAAAAATAAAAAAACATGTCAAAAGCAAACTAGAGTTCGTCGAGCACCCTTCTGTAGAAACGATTCTTGAACCCGTTAACTGTGGATGCATTAACAACGTCGTAGGGCAGCCTGTTCCCGGTATCAAACACTCGGTTAGACAGGAAAAATTGGCGGAGTGTAGTTATAAACTTCTCTTTCATTAGTTTGTAGTTGTGGCCTCTCAGGTGGTTGGCGTTGCAACGGAAAAGTAAGGACATGTCAGTGCCGAAGAAACCATGCAAAGCTCTGTCTGTGACTAGTCTCCTCGTAAGCGTCTATCCTTCATAGCAACGCCTCAGAATATTTTCCAGCAGATCTCGGTCACGTTGCAGCGTTGGATACTAAACAGTTCCAGCAAATTCCATAATTGGTCTCACATATGACGTTTACAGGAGGCCAGCAGTAGAATTGTCATAGTCCTTAAAGGATCTTTCGATAAAGTATAGACAACTTCTGATGACAATACAATTACGTATGCTGATATGCAGTACACCATGAAAAAATGTCAAATCCAAGATGGCCGGGCTTCAAAATGGCGAATTAGATATTATTATCAACCTCCCGCAAAACTGATCTCAAATGGAAGGGCCTGACTATATTCGGTAACAGAAAAGGAAGAGATCGGTGAAACTCGCACAGCCATGCTTTTCCACTTGACAAAGTCGGCGCGTAAGTATCCCATCACATTCAATAAGATTGCGCGTTAGATAGGCGTGCGATGTATTTTGCTGTATAAAAATGTCCTATTTGCGGTCATCGACAAATTGCTTTTTTGATGTCCTGAATGTTGAAACCTTTTTTCGATAAAAAATGAAGTGGCCGAGAATTCGAGGTGTTCGAGTATTTAATAGATAGTATAGTGTTCTGTGAAAAAGTTATATAGAACCCTCAAAATGTTCAGAATAACACCATACATTATCAGTATGAATTTGTATTCGTTCTGTGGAAGAAGTGCGTCAAACCACTTGATGCAATTTTTGAATAGGGTACGTCCGGGAGAGATAGCCGTAGTTTTTGTCAAGCGCTCTAAAAATGAAACTATTAGTATTTTTTTCGAAATTTTTATTTTAGACCAGTCTTTAGTCATTACGTCTAAAAGAACACAAAATAATTAACAAATTTTAATCAAATAAAATAAAAAAGAACATAACTAGAACTGTCCACCGGCCATCTCTCCCGAGGTGTCCGGGAGGGATGGCCATATAATAGATGACTAGTTGTTACGCTCGACTTCGTTCGATTAAAATTGTTAATATATCCATTTTAAAATCAACACAAATTAAAAATTAAAACATGTTTTACATTGTGAAACTACCAAGTATCTAATTGGAAAAGGTAAATATGTATAAAAGTATGACAGCCTGTTAGCCCTTTTTCTCCAATGTCCCATTATTCCTTCAAGTCTAGAAGAACAATCCTAAGAATTTAAAACTAATTCGCCAGTAACCTTTAAATCCCTAAATACGGTTCCTGTCGCAAAATCCAATCTTAACTGACATTTAATGCATAAAAACTACCTTCCTACCAAATTATAGGTTTCTTTTCTAAAGGCAAAGGATTTTTGTACAAACCGGTAAATGTCTCTGTCCTCCTTTTATCTAGCTTTGTCGCAAAAATGTGTGTATATCTTTTCGCTACTATTTATATCTGCCCTCAGCACCCTTAATCCAGCCCTGACTTAAAATCAGTTCTTTGCTGCGATTTCCTGT